TATCAAAACCACTTGAGCAAGACCCGGGGAGCGTGTCCCACATCAGGGTCCTGGGGTGGGTGGGAGACTGGGTGGGGCTTCTCCCTTAATAGCCCCCTTTACCTCAGATACATGAAGGAAACAATGTGGAGATAATAGTCTTACCCACTTTCCTGTAGTCCTTGAACCTTTTTGCCCTAATTACGTAAAGATTGTCAAAAATTTAATAATAAAAAAAGGTATCAAAAAGAAAAAGAAACAATTGGATGAAAGTGAGATGAAAAGCCAGCAAGGCAAGCAGATGCTAGGCTGAGCGGAGCATAACGTTGGCCAAATTAGAGCAGAGCCATGATGAGCCTGCTGGCCACCTTGCAGTTACTGCCTGAGCGTGCCCTGCCTGGTGACGCTGCTGCCTTACACCCCGTATGCAGATACACACACCTGCCAGAAGCAATATCCTTGCTGCCTTACCATTGTCCTCATCCCCCACGTGAAAACGTATAAAACCTCAGTGTGGCACACCCTACATGGTCATTTCCCTCACACGGCCACCCCCTATGTGGAAGTGGTTCCAGGCCCTCTCCATGAGGAAGCAGTCTGTCCAACTCTTCAATAAACTGCCCCTGCACTAATAGCCTCTCTCAGGCGTGCCCAAACCCAACAGCATCACCACGTCACAGGTCACACAGGTCACAGGCTCCGCGACTCAAACAACAGATTTGCACGCGCCACTCCGTGTGGTGGCTCTACCCCTGCTGGTATCCCTCCGCATCCCCCCCACCCCCAACACCAAGGTGTCCCAGACCATCCCGGCCTCCACAGCTGTCCTCACCCAAACAGTGCGCCATTCCTAAGTGAGCATCTCGCTTCCTGGGGACTCCACTCAGCATCACCCCCACACCGGGGCTGCAACCCTGCAACACCAGTCTGCCTGACCTCGCAGGCTTCCCCTCCATGGAAGCAACCAGGACACAGGAACTGTAGCCAAACTAGCAGCAGGTTGGAGACGCCATGGGCTGCGCCATAAGCTGCACCTGGGTTTGCGCCAGCATAAGCCGCACCTGGGTCTGCGCGAACTGAGGCCGGAGTGGGCTGGGAGCACTTCACACACTAGAACCAAGTTCCTAGTAACCCTGGGCGGCCTGGCTGCCTCGCCAGCCCCAGTAACAGGCAAACAGGCCCGCATGTTGCCGAAGGAGCGCTGCCTAACGACAGCGGTCTACTTCCTGACCCACGACCTCGGCAGGCCTTTACCATCCACATCTCCACTCTGGGCACAGCCTCCTTCCACGAAGGCGCTCGCTTCTCTGCCAGCCCTCAGCAGAACAGCCTGCCGCCTTCAGAACTCTGCTGCCGGCTGCTAGTTCGCCACTCCGACCCCTGCCTCCAGCACACGTTTAACACAGTTACTCTCACGTCCCCCACTCCTCGGAGTTATATGAGCTTAACACAGGCTACTTTTAGGCTGCAGCTCCCGCTGGTTTATGTGAGGGCCGAGTGTGTGCTGGACAGAACCAGGCTGAACTGCAACACCCATTGGTTCCAGTGGAAGACAGCGCTGGAAACCGAACCAACCCAGTAATTGCAACCACCAGGTGATTGGGGCAATAGAAGTGAAAGAAAATCCAGGAAGTGAAAGAAAATCCATGAGCTTACGGTTTGGAAGTCCCTATCCCAGGGTTCGGCTGGGTGCTGCTGGTCCGTCCGTCTGTCCGGCAGACCGTGGTGAAGGTGGAAGGAGAGGGGCTAGGTCCGCCTTCTCGCAAAATCTACCTTCCGTTCCCAGGGCACGCCCCCCTCACCTGGAGCCTCCCCCCAGGCCCACCTAATCAATACTAATTGGCTTAAGCAGGCCAGCCTGAGCTCCCAAGGGCTGCAGGCCTTCCCAAGTGTCCAGGCCGGAAACCGAGCCTGCCCTTCTGAGGTTGGATGCTGCTGGGTCATGCCCCCATGACTGGGCACCAGAGCCAGACTTGTCTGAGCTCGTGGGGACCCACACAAAGAAACCTTGCAAGCAGCCAGAGGACCTGGCATGCACACAGGGTGGGACTGCGTGTGTTGGGGGGGGGGGGAAACTACAGAGTTGCAACCAGAAATAAAAGCCTTTGAAATAGCCCTGGGCAGCTGCCTCCCCAGGCCATCCGGAGGTGTGGGGGTGGGCTGCCTGATTCCTCCGTCTGCTCCTCCTGAGGCCACACGTTTCTGTTTCTGGGCGTCGCAAGCACACATACCAATTAGGGGACTGACCGCAGCTGCTCACGAGCTCTGCCAGCCTGAGGTCGTGCCTGGAATAGAACCCAGGCGCCCGGCACCCACCCCTGCGCGCAGCCTGGCTCTGCTTCCACCTCGGCAGCCGTGCACGCCACCCTTTCGCCCACGCAAGGAAGTCGCCCCGATGCTTAGTTCTGGAAAGCTTGGTTTCCATGACAACAGACGGGCTGGCAAAACCTGTAGGTCTCCCCCACCCCCGCCATCCGAGAGAATGTGCCTGCTCGGCTCGGGTCCTGGCCCCCTTGGACTTGCCCTCGCTGATCCTCCCAATAAGCCCTGCTGGGTCAGTCTGTCTTTCTCTCCTCCACCCTTTCCCCAGCCTCGTTCCCGAATCTTCTCTGGCTGCCATAATCTGGGTATCTACCCACTGTGCAGCACGGAGGCTGCAGCAAGGGGCGGGGGATGGGCGAGCCGGCGCGTGAGTGGAGAGGCTCCACGAGAAGAAAGAGGGAGGACGAGCCGCTTGCCCTCTCCCGAGCCCTCCGGTTTCTTGGGCTTTGCTGCAGAGCAGTGATGGCAAGATTAAGACCCAGGCTACAGACACGGTACTGGGGGAAAATCGCCTCCCGCGGTGTTCTTTCTCACTCCCCTCTTCCCCCCAAGTTCCCAAACCCAGCGTCACCAGAGGTGGAGGGGGGCGGGCAAAGGAGAGCCCACCCTCCTCCCACGGAGCCCGCCGGGGGTGATTGGCAGAGGTAATCTTAGCGCAAAACCAGCGGGAGCCAAGGAAGCATCCTCTCCCCGCCCCCGCCCGCGCCGGGGTCTCCTCTTCTGCCTGGAGACAGCGGCCACGCGCACACCGCACCGCCCGCTGCACACGCACGCACGCGCGGGCGCTCCGAGCTCCCTCCCCCGAGCCATCTGCACAGCTCCATTCGGTCGTACCCAGCACCACGAACATGCACAGCCATGATGGTTCGCCACACGCAACCCATCATGTAATCCAACAACAAATGACACACATAGGCCACCAGCACTCGCCACCCTGTCCTTGCGTCCTTCCAGCAGGCGCCTCCTAGCCCGCTGCTGCATCCACAACATGCCGGGATCTCCATCTGTTACACAAACGTTCAACCATTCAAGAAGAAACCTTTTTATTATTTTTTTTTTCGAAGAAAAAAAGCCATATAAATATTAGAGTATAAAACTTGCGTGAGATACAGGAAGGGCGTGGGAGCTACGTGACTATGCTAAGAGAAGCGCTTATAGGAAGGAGTCAGTATGGGGGAGGGGGTTGTCAAAGCGCGTGGACACAGCACAAGACACAGCACGGGCCGCCGCAGGCAGGTTCAAGGACAGACGGCTGCGCGGAGCCCGCCGCCCACTGCCCACTCGCCGTCACGTAAAAGCACACCGCACTACACTATTGGCTATTCTACACCAGCCAAGGGGAGAGGGGGATCTACACTACTGTAAGGGGCTGGGGTTCACTCCTCGCAGCCCCGCGAGATGCCCGGGACCCAGGGTGGGGGGGTGGAGTGAAGGGCGGAAAGAGAGGCTAGAGGGGGTCTATGCACAAGGAGGCACTGGGGGGCTTTAACCAGGCTCTGGCCACTAGGGGGCGGGCTGGAGGCCCGGGTGGTGGCCTTACAGAGAAGGAACGGCACCTGGCAAAGGTGGCGAGAAGGACGATGGTTTGAGGAGTGAAGGAGCCCAGTGGAGAAGCCCCATCGCGGGCTGTGACTTCCAGCCCACTTGGTCCTTGCTCTAGCTCCTTGCCTCCCCAACCCAGGGGCCATGACTTGCCCAGTTGCCCCTCCTTCCACAGGCCCTTCCCTCAGTGGCACCTCTGGAGTACCCAGCACCCAGAGGCCCCTCCGATCTCTCCTAGGGACCTGGTCCTAAGCCTATGCAGAGCTTCCTTGGACTGAAATGCCAGTTTAAATCCATTGGTCCAGCTAACTCAGCCCCAATTTGGCTTCTTGGGCTGAGCCCTCTGTGGGAGGGGAGCGTCCAGCTTATGCTCAGTCTGGGGGTGCTGGAATCTGGGGGAGAGGGGATCTGGTTAGTACCTGGGAACAGGCAGCGCCTTTGACTGACCCCATGCGTCAACAGGTCAAGCTCTGTCTGTCCCCAACCCCCATCCACATACACACACTTCCCTTCTTTATCTTCCCACCCCATACTGTCTTGGAACATGCAGTGAAGTCTCTTGTTGGAGGAGGGGTGTGGGAAGTCGCAGCATGCAGTTGGAACATCAAACAATGAAAAACGGAACGGAAGAATGGTCCCCAGGGCCTTGGTAGAGTCTTGGCAGCAAAATGCCCTCCATAAATCCAGCAAGCATCAGTACCATGGGGATGGTAACCATGCCCCCCACCCAAAAAAAAAAAAAAAAAAAAAAACCTTGAGCACTGGTCCCCGCCTCTGGGAGGAGGTGGAAGGACTGGCACCAAACCATGCTTTGGGGGGGAGACAGAACCGAAGGAGAGGCCAAGAGGCCTTTCCAGCACTTGAGAACCATGATCCTTTTCGGGTCACCTGTTACCTCAATGCCCTGATGACCTCACGGTGGCCAGTGGGCTGGGCAGCAGGGACTTGGGGCATGGATGGGCCTGATCAATTTGGAAGATGGTGGAGTTCAGGTGTAACTAAACAGGGTGCGGTGAATGATTCTGGTTGTCTATACTAACCCCACTGACCCCCATGGGACAATAATTGATTGGATGGGGGGGTTCCCGGACAGAACTCCCTTTGCATATTCAAGCCCCTGGGGGCAGAGGGGGTGTTGACTGGGCACTTGTTTTTTTTCTGTTTCCCGAGGGGAGCATGGCCTGGGCCTCAGCCAGTATCCTGGGGCTGAACCCTGAAATGCTGTGAGGCCTGGGTACAAGGTGAGGAGAAGCTGGGCTGGCTGGGGTGGGAGGCTGCCCTGTGGCTCTCGGCCTCAGCCCCAGCCTCCGCGTTACTTCTTCTCCTTCTTGCCCGACTTCTTCTTGTTGCCGTTGCCCCCTGCCGGAGCCTTGCCATCCCTCTTGCCGGCAGCGTTGGTCAGGGTGGCGTTGCTGCCAGGGATGTAGACATTCTGGCGGTAGTCAGGCACGTGCTGCAGGGTGAACTGGGGCCCATAGCGCGCACTTAGACCCATGGTGCCGGCGCCTCCTCCCAGGGTGGAGCTCCCATCAGCGGCTTCTGCGGAGACAGAGGAAGTTCAATTCAGATGGATCGGGGTGCTGATGAAGGGTCCCTCCTGAAGCCATAAGGACCTAGCAATGCCTGCAAAGCACCTCAGGCCCTGAGCACAGGGAACCCTAAAAACGCAGGGATCGCGGAAGTTACCTCTGTCCACTTCTCACTCTCCAGAGGGCAAAGCTCTAGGTCTGACGGCTAGCTCTGTGTCTTGCTAAGCTTGATCGTGGCAAATCTGCCTGAACTTGCTATGTTTTCTGACCTGCAGACCTCGGAGGATGACAGGATCTGCCTTTTCTGGCTTGGGTGAGGCTGGCTCAGAAGCTGCAGGTGGAGTGCCTGAGGAGTGCCTGACAGGTGTTAAGTACTTACAGGTAGCTGCCCTGGTCTGGGGCGCACACACTGCTCTCCAGCTCTTGCCCCGCCCTTTTCCTGGGGGTCTCTGGCTTTCGCATTAGACCACAGGTCTTAACGGTAGCCACCAGGGTTCATCTGCCCTCTCCAGCCAGCGCCAAACACCAGGTACGGATAAGGCCTCCATTTCAAGCCCACTGCTGGGTATTTCACGTCTGTGGAGTCTCAACAGTAAGGTATGTGAAATGGGTCCCTTTTACAGATGAGGGAGTTAAGGCTTAGAGTAGGTAAAGACTAGCATACAGTCCTATCAGACAGCATAGGTGAGAGTGGGCTTCAGGCCCCCCTCCAGAGGGGCTGGAGCCAGCCTCACCTGCAGCCTGGGCTCAGAGGTGTGAGCTCTGTGCCATGAAACGAGCGAGCGTGAGGACTCCAGGGCCAGACAGCCAAGGTACAGGATGGATTAGGGGCTCAGCCAAAAGCCAGGAGCACCCCCACTTTCTGCTGTTCCCAAGAAAGGGGGAGGGTGGGTGGATCTGAGAGGCACCCTGTCTGGCTCAGAGGCCTCAGAATCAGCATTCTAATGGGCTCCCTAGGTGTTCTATTTGCACATTCAAGACTGAGAAGCACTCAAGTGCTTCACCCGAGCTTCTAAGAGATTTTGCTTTTTAAGTCCAGAGTAACAGAGGCAGAAAGAGGAAGCAGTCAGGTCCACGTGACCAGGAAGGCCAGGGCTGTGCCACACTGGAAGCCAGGAGCTTAATCCGGGTCTCCCACGTGAGTACAGGGGCCCAAGCCCTTGGATCATCTTCCGCTGCTTTTCCAGCCACATGAGCAGGGAGCTGGATTGGGTGTGGACACCCAGGATTCAAGCTGGTGTCCCTGTGAGATGCTGTGACTTTACCAGCCCCTCCCTGAGGACTAAATGAAGCAGAGCTTTCCGCAATGCAGTCCTTGTAAGCACCTCCAGTGCGAAGTCACCTTTACCCTTGGCTTCCCCTGACTGGGATCGGGGTGCACGTGCAGTGACTCGGGGACTCCTTAGGGCTCCCGGCCCGAAGCCCTGACATCCTCTTAGGCAGGGAAAGGGTTAAAAGCCTAGGACCAGCAGCCTGGCTGCCAGCGACTCCCTTCACCTCCCCCCACCCTAGACCCCCGGAGCGGTGACGGAGGCCGGAGAGGCTGAGTAATCCTGGGACCGCAACCAGGGATTGGGAAAGAGACAGGCAGGAAATGTTTTCAAAGCCTGCCTGGGAAGGGGGAGGGCGGAAGAGAAGCGAGCAGAGATGCGCCTCCACTTCCCGCCTGCGCCCCGGGCGCTCAGGTCCCCTGCAGGCGTCCCAGGTCCCCATGCTCCCTAGCAGGGGTGGGGAAGCCGCCCACCTCCTTCTCTCCCTCCCTCAGGCTGGCCCCTTCCCTCAGCCCTTTCTTTCTGCTGACATTTCCCAGTTTTCCCTAATTGACTCCAGCAGGGAGCAGGTCCTCTAGGCCCCGCCTCCAGCTTCTTCCCCTCTCCTCCCACCCCCCAGTGGAAGGAGGAGGGGCCCTGATCCAGCTTCAAAGAGCCAGGATTCCGGAGTGATTTAGGGGATGCAGCGGAGGGGCCTCAGAGGCGCCAGGGAGAGTCTTATTGTGCCCCCAGGGCACATAGAAGAAAATGAAGAAAAAATCTGTGCAGAGAGAATAGAGCCAAGAAAAGGAAGACAGTAAGGGCCCACCCACATCCCGTGTGCACACCACATCTGTGGAAGCACCCCAAGTGGGTAGAAAGGACCGCCAGCCCCTGGACATCACGAGGGCTGCAGCCAAGCTGGGCAGACCAGGAGGGAGAGATGTGTCACGCTGGAGGCGTTTGGACTGAAATGCTTTGGCCAGTTCTGTCATCAGGATGCTGTGTGGAAGGGGTTGGGTGCCAGCACCTGTCCAGGTCTCCCGGAACACCCACCTTGGGGGAGAATCTGGATTTCCTCTAAATCAGATACAAGGACTTGAAAAGCACAGGGGCGGGCCTGAGGGTCTTGGAGGGGGGGAGTGGCCAGAGGAGGTGAGGGCGCAGTTCACCTCCTTCCTTTCCCACCACACCCCTCCCTTCCCCACCCCTCAGTCTCCAAGGAGGTGGGAGCAGCTCATCCAGTTCCCCCCCAGCTCTGCAGCCACAGCCAATCCCAGCCCTGGGGCCCAGGCAGCCCTGGAGGCCTGAGCCAGCAGGACCAGAGCTGGCTGAGCTACAAACCGCAGCCTCCTGGAGGGCTCACCTCCCCCAGATGTTTATTTAAAAATCACCGGAGGTGGCGGCCTGCTCCCTCCTCCTGGCCCAGCTCTACAGCCCCTCGGGAGGGGGAGGGGAGGGCGGGGCTCCAGGAACTTCTCAGTCTAGGAAAGTGAGAGTGACCCCACAGTCACCTCCACCCCCAGGGACCGGTCCTGGGGGCCAGGCTCAGCCTGGGGGCAGGTCCCTGGGGGGGCTGCAGGGTGGAGTCCTGACCGTGATTGGGCTTTCCCAGAGCCTCTCTCCAACCCTCTGGGAGAGTTTTGGGCTGTAAATACTGATTTCAGATCTGTCTGTAACCTTTAGATTTCTGCCAGAAAGCCTGCCTTCTGGCCCGAGGGCATGAGGTCACAGCCCATACCGCCCTGTTTACTTTCCTCAAGAGCCTGGCTGGGTCACTGCCAGGCATGCCACCTGCCTCTAGGGACTCACTTCTGCCTTCTCCAGATCGGCCACCCCTCTGCCCAGGAGGCCGGCAGCCCTTCCCTCCTGGCCAGCCACAGGCCTGGCCCCACCCAATCTCACTTGTGGAGTAGGGTTGCCAAATTTAGCAAATTAAAACACAGGGTGCCCAGCTAGCCTGGAATTCCAGGTAGAGGAGCAGTCCTTTTTTTGAGGGTTTTTTTTGGTTTTGTTTTGTTCTGTGGTGTCACATGCCATTGGAGAGGTGATTCAGAACAGGACTTGCAGTTTATGTGAAGTTCCAGTTTAACTGGGAATAGCAAGGGGGGAGGTTTTTTTTCTTTTTTTCCTGCCAAGGGCCACCTGGGTATTTATAAGATCATTTGCCAGCCACACAAAGTGATCAGCCTGAAAACTGGCTTGCTGGGCCCAGCACAGTGGCCTAGAGGCTAAAGTCCTCACCTTAAATGCACCAGGATCCCATATGGGCGCCGGTTCTAATCCCAGCAGCTCCACTTCCCATCCAGCTCCCTGCTTGTGGCTTGGGAAAGCAGTGGAGGACGGCCCAAAGCCTTGGGACCCTGCACCCGCATGGGAGACCTGGAAGAGGATCCTGGCTCCTGGCTTCAGATTAGCGCAGCACAGGCTGTTGCGGTCACTTGGGGAATGAATCATCTGATGGAAGATCTTCTCTGTCTCTCCTCCTCTCTGTATATCTGACTTTGTGATAAAAATAAACAAATCCTAAAAAAAAAAAACTTGGGGATCTTTGGGCAGTGACTATCAAATGTGATAACCTTGCAGTGCTGCTGATCCACTGACACAGGTGCCTGACATCAGCCTGGCCTTGCCCTGTGGGACTATGGAGATCACTGGGGTTTTTACCTGAGTCTCCACCTGCCAGTCCATGTAGGCTACAGCCCAGAGCTCAGTTCATCATGTAGGCCAGGGCCTTAATCCTCTGTCAGCCTCCCTGTCAGGATCTGCCGCTCCAGTCCGTAACAACAGGCATTAGTCATAGGTCAGTAAAAGTAATCTGGGCTGGCATGATGGCTCAAGTGATTTATCCTCTGCCTTATGTGACTGCATCCTAAAAGGGCGCAGGTTTGGGTTTCAGCTGTTCCACTTCTGATCCAGCTACCTGCTCATGCACCTGTCCCTCAAACACATTGAAACACATTGAGAGAAATGGGACAAACCGGTCATAAGCATGGGAAGTGGCAGTCAGGACCCAGCCATGCTGCCCCCTTCTAGTTGATCCTGTAAGTTAGCCCCGCCCTCCCCCATTTCTCTAATGACTCCTTGCTGGCTCCCCTCTGGGGCTCCTTATCCTGATTTTATGCCACCAGGTCTGACAGACCAGCCCAAAGAACTAAAGAAACCATGCTGGCTGACACCCGGGCTCTGGGCATGGGAGCTGCAGGATGCACCCCTAGACCCCAGGTTTCCGTGTCACTGCACACAGCCGCACTACTTACCACTGGCAGAGGCCAGGATCATGGCCTGCAGCATCTCCGTGTCAAACTGGTTGTTGGGCCAGGTGCCGGTTTCATCGCCATTTTGGGAACTGGGGAGAGAGTGGGGTGGTCAACACAGTGTCCTCCACCAGGCAGGCTCACGCCCTCCTGAGCCCCCATCTCACAGCCACCCGGTGCCCAACACCTGCTGCTTTCAGCAACATGGGACGTGCTAGCCCCGTGGAAGCCGGAGCTCGGGCAGGCTGCAAGTTGGGTCTCTACTGCCTCCAACACACTTGATGATGCCAGCTCTCCCCTCGCCCGCCCCCTGTAAGGGGCCAGGCTCACTGTGGCAGGGGGGCAGAGAGACCCCTCCAGGGAGCAGTAAGGGCAGGAAATGAGCGAGGAGGTCCCAGAGCTACAGAAAGGGGTGGGGATCTAGAGAAGACCTAGGCAGACATGTAGGACACCCCAAGAGATCCTGCAGCAGGGAGAAAGAACTTTTTAAAACTCAATTTTCCCCTCTTTATGAACCAAATTTACTGGGGAGGGGATCCCCAAGCTGAGGCTAGATCAGGTGCTTCTGTCACACTCCAAGCCCTGGGCCTGCTCTGGTAGCAGCTTCTGTACCTGTACCCCGTGGAACCCGTGGAGGAGGGGCTCGTGCACTTCCTACTGCAGCACCCAGGAAAACCTGGCTCCTGGACTTCGTTAAGACTTTTAGAAGCTCTGTGCATTGTACAAGTATGAAGTCATTCCTGATGATCAAAAATGTTGAGGTATAAAAACTAAGGAATTTCAACTCAGCTTGGAGTTTCCCATGGTGACAATTCTCAAGCAGTTTTGGGGGGAGGGTTGCATTTTTCAAGGCTCAGGTCATTTTAATTTGTAGAGAGTAGGAGCTGGGGAGGGGAGTCCTGATGCAATCTTTCTACCAGGGAAACGCTGGTGCCACCTGGTACAGAGAAGTTCCTCAAGAAACAGTTGGCTGGGTGAGTGGGAAGAGGCCACTGGAGAGGCCACCGGCCACTGAGCTGGACGCAGGAGCATCTGGGCTCCAGGGCAGGCCACTGGGCCTTCAAGGCACAACAGGGCGTGGTAGCAAGCAGACCCTGGAAACAGCAGCTAAGACAGTGCTTAAGATGCCCCCTTCTCAGACAAAAGTGCCAGGGTTCAGGGCCAGCGCCACTGCACCTTCCTGCTCTCGTCCACCTTGGTGGACAGCAGTAGGTTGACTCACGTACTTGGCTTCCTGCTGTCCACATGGGTGACCCAGATTGAGTTTCTGGCTTCTGGCTTTGGACTGGCCTAGCCTTGGTTTTTGCAGAAATGTGGGGAATGAACCCACAGATGAAAGGCCACCCCCTTGCCTTTCAAATAAATAAATAAAAATTCACAAGCAATTTTAAAAAGTGTGCATGTGTGTTTCTCACACCACCAAGACTTCCCTCCGGTTTTTGCTGGTTTGACCCTTGCTTCCGGCCTCTCCCCTTCTGCAGGTCCCTATCTCAGGCTTCACAAAGAACACATGGTTGCTGCCTGTGCCCTCTGCCCCGGCCCAGAGAGCAGAATAAACTTAGGGCTGCAGGGGAAAGCAGGAATCTTGGTTTTCTCCTTCAAAAGTGAGAAAAGTTAGAACTCTGCCCATTTAATGGCTATTTGTTGAACGATTACTATATGCCCCACAATGGGCTAAGTGCTAGGGTAATACCTGAGAACATGATAGAAATATTCCCGGGGCCAAGGCGGTGGTATAACAAGTCAATCCTCTACCTGTAGTGCTGGCATCCCATATGGGTGCCAGTTCGACTCCCCGCTGCTCCATTTCTGATGCACAATCTCATATCAGTCCTGACTGCTCTGTGTCTGATCCAGCTGCCTTAATGTGCCTGGGAGAGCAGTGGAAGATGGCCCAAGTCCATGGGCCCCTGCCACCCCATGTGTGAGAACTGGATGAAGTTCCAGCCTGATCCAGCCCCAGGCCATTGCAGCCATTTGGGAAGTGTGTTAGCAGTCAGAAGATCTCTTTCTCCCTGTATCTCTCTCATTCTTTCTTGATGTGATGTGATGTGGTGGGGAGTAACAGTACCTCTCATGGAATACTTCTACTAACACTGGCTAACCTAAAACTAAATCCAAACAAGCAACCAGCAAATAATGCAAGGGTCAGCTTGTGGGGGCATTTTAAAAAATGGTGGGAACCCGGCGCGGTAGCCTAGTGACTAAAGTCCTCATCTTGCGTGTACCAGGATCCCATATTAGTGCTGATTCTAATCCCAGCAGCCCCCGTTTCCCATCCAGCTCCCTGCTTGTGGCCTGGGAAGGCAGTTGAGGACGGCCCAAAAGCCTTGGGACCCTGCATCTATGTGGGAGACATGGAGGATGCTCCTGGCTCCTGACTTTGGATTGGCTCAGTTCTAGCTGTTGCAGCTACCTGGGGAGTGAACCAGTGGACAGGAAATCTTCCCCTCTGTCTCTCCTTCTCTCTGTATATATGGCTTTCCATTTTGTATTCCTTGGTTGAATCCAGAGTTGGTTTTGTATATGAACAAACAAGTTAACAGGACGTACTGGGGCATGCATGAAAACGTGCTGGAGAACAGCACGCCAGGGTGTGAGTGCAATGATTCCTTTGCTATTGTCCCTGGAAGGTGCCTGCTGAAGTATTTCAAAAGTTCTGCTGACTGTAACTCACTTCTACATGCTTTAGAAATCAAAGTGGGTGAAAATGTGCTAGGGTAGATAAAATGGTAACAGTTCATCAATGTAGGCAAAAAGAGTAAAAAAGAGCATTTGGGTGTTTATCATATTATTTCTTCAAGTTTTTGAAGGGTTCAAACCTTTTTTTCCATATTTTTTTTCAGGGGAGGGGGACTTTTCTACATAAAAAGCTGAAGGGGCCAAAGTTGTGGCATAGTGGGTAAAGCCACTACTTGCAACACTGAAGGCAACAGTGACATCTCATGTGGGCACTGGTTCAAGTCCCAGCTACCCCCCCCTTCTGATCCAGCTCCCTGCTAGCAGCCTAGGAAAACAGCAGATGACCACCCAAACCCTTGAGTCCCTACCACTTGCATGGGAGACCCAGAGGAAGTTCCTGACTTTGGTCTGCCCCAGACCTGGCCATGGCAGCCATCTGAGGAGTAAACCAGCAGATGGAAGAGTTCTGTCTCTCCCCTTGCCTCTCTCTAACCTTGCCTCTCAAATGAAGAAAACAAATATTTAAAAAATGATAAGTACCAGGTTGAGGGGTAAGAGGGTTTCATGCACAGAGCAGGCACCGCACGCCCACCCCACGACTCTGAACCCCAAGGAGTGAGAACACAGGGCGGCTGCCGCGGGGGAGGCGGGGAGCAGACTTCAAAGAGTTTATTCTCATCCTAAGAGCTCTGGGAAGCCACTGAGCTGTTTTCTGTTGTATATTTTTAGAATGTTTATTATTTCCATCTCTCTGCAAGACAGAGGGAGTGAGAGCATAAGCCAGGACTAGGCCTGCTGTATGGTGGCAGGGACCCAAGCGTGTGGGCCATGCATGACCTGCTCCCTCCCAGTACGCATGAGCAGGAAGCTGGACTGGAAGCAGTGGTGCTGGGAGTCAAACTGGCATGAAGTGCAGCTTAGCCCACTGTGCCACAACACCTGCCCCACCATGGAGGTATTTTTAAACGAAAGGAGACTTGAGGAATTGTAAAGGTCAGCCTTGCACCTGACAAAGGATGGGGGTGGGGGGGGTCCTTTCTATGGGAGGATGAGGATTTAGTGTGGGGTTTCAGCACCTTCTGTCTCCATGAGAGTGTGGGCCACCTCATTTTCAGCTCTCTCTGAGCCAAGGCAGGTAGGTTCATGCCCAGAGCTGGGGGAGAGCAGGTCGGGAGGCAGTGCAGCAGAGAGGAGAGCTTCTGGGCCCAGTTGGCCTGCCTGGTTGGCTAAGGGCAGACAGCAGGGGTCAGAGAGCAGAGGTTAGCCAGAACTGAGTGGAGGTGGGCAGCTGGAGAGAACAGGGGTGTAGCCGGCTAACCTGGAGCAGGGCAGAGACTGCCTTTTGCCACCATTTCCTAAGCCTCCTGTTCTCCGCATCCTGAAACTTCTCCCTTATCGCCTCCTCAGGAATCCCTGCAGAACCGTGTTCTACCATCTGCATTTTCTTCCAGATCAAATAAGGGCTCAGAGGGGTTGAAGAACTTTCCCAAGTCGTGCAGCTGGCAGCACTGCAAGCTGAGGTCACATCTAACAGGCCTCCAAAGCCCGGGCTCTCACCATTAGCCTTGTGCTGGGTTTCAGGGAGGCCCTGGGGCCCCCAGCAGCCCATAGGTTGAGGAAAATGCCTGCAAGATCCAGGCACTCATGAGGAGATGGACTCTGTGTACTTAACCATTTCCCCAGCACCCACTACATGCCTGGGCAGTTCTGGCTCTAAGCACCTGCCCTACAGAGGCTGTGTGGGGCACAGGGAGGGTGCGTGTGGAGTCCCCCAGAGGCAGGGGGGTTAGGGTAAAACTGCCCGAATCATGTTCAAACAAAGGGAGAGATGAGAGCCACCCTGACAGCAGCTCATGTTGAATTATGCATTTATTAGAAAGGCAGTGATGCGAGGAGACAGATATCTTCCACCTGCTGGTTTGCTTCCCACATATCCACAAGGGCTGAGATGTTAGCAAGCAGCTGGATTAGAAGGAGAGCAGCCAGGAATGGTGCAGTGGTCCTAGGGTTGTATGCTAATCCTCAAACTACAGTGCTGGTATCCCATGTGGGTGTCAGTTCAAGTCCTGACCGCTCCATTTCCAATCTGGCTCCCTGATGATGCACCTGGGAGAGCGTGGGAAACAGCCCAGGTCCTTTGCTCCCTGCACCCATGTGGGAGACCCAGAAGAAGGTACTGGCCCTTGGTTTCAGCCCAGTCCAGTTCTGGTTGTTGTAGCCATCTGGGGAGTGAACCAAAAGCTGGAAGATCTCTTTGTCTCTCTCTCTTTCTTTATAACTCTGCCTTTCAAATAAATAAGTACATCTTTAAAATATATATATATATATATATAAATGTATATATGTATGTGTATATATATAGTAGTTGCCTGGGAATAAACATTTTTGATATTCCAAATGCAAATAGTTTATGAATTATTTAATTGGTTCAGATATTTTTTTAAAAAGTTGTTTATATAAAGTTTAGAAAGACATATGAAAATGGTAATGACTCAGTGAATAAACTGTGGGAAAATATAAGAAGAGGCTTTTTACAGTAAAAGGGCCGAAGAAATCTAACAGATATTCACTCAAATGCAAAATGTGGATCTGAAAAAAAAAGCAGCATCTTGGGGTGGGGTGTTGGGCTCCCAAAGTGTTACACCGTTGCTTGGGCTGCCAGCACTCCACATCAAAGAACTAAGATGTCTTGCCTGCTCTGTTTCCGGTCTGTCTTCCTACTTGGGTCCCTGCCCCTGCACGGGATGCCTGGATGGAGTTTCTGGCTCCTGGCTTAGTCTGGCCCAGCCTCAGCTACTGCTGGCATTTGGATGGAGGGGAAGCTAGGCAAACCAGCAGACAGGAGAACACTGTCTTCCCTTATTTCCCTGTCATTCTGCTTTTCAACTTTAAAAAAAGCCTAAATCCCAAAGCTACTATATACCCTCTACCCTTTTATAAGCTTAACATTCCCAGTTTATAAAGAAATTAGTAGCAGTTCTTAAATTATAAAGTTATGGCTGGTATTGCTTTTAAACTGCGTCCTCATTTCTTGTGTTTCTGTAATTAACTTTTTTAAAAAAATATTTATTTATTTGTATTGGTAAGTCAGATTTACAGAGAGAAGGAGAGACAGAAAGATCCATCCGCTGGTTCATTCACCAAGTGGCCGCAATGGCCAGAGCTAAGCTGATCAGAAGCCAGGACCCTGGAGCCTCTCCAGGTCTCCCACACAGGCACAGGATCCCAAAGGCTTTGTGCCATCTTCTGCTTTCCCAGGCCTCAAGCAGAGAGCTAGATGGGAAGCAGAGCAGTTGGGATTAGAACCAGTGCCCATATGGGATCTTGGTGGAAACAAGGCGAGGATTTAGGCACTAAGCTACTGTACCAGGCCCACATATTATTTTTTTTTAAGATTCATTTTTATTTATCTGAAAGGCAAGGTGAGAGAGAAAGAAAGAACAAGAGAGATCTCTCATCTGCTGGTTCACTGCCCAAATGACCACAATCGTCAGGACTAGGCCATCCAAAGTCAGGAGCCAGAAGTGTCTTTGAGATCTCCCGTGTGGGTGCACGGGTCCAAGCACTTGGGCCGTCTTCCTGCTTTCCCTTGGGTCATCAGCAGGGAGCTGGGTCAGAAGTGTCGCAACCCGGTTTTGAACCAGCACCTATATAGGATGCCCACATCACTGGGTGGCAGCTTAATCCCCGAGGCCACAACGCCAGTCTCGAGCATATATTATTTTATAAGAAAAAAAAAAATCAAATTGCTGTTACTTGTTTATTGGATGACTGCCCAAACTAACAAACTCTGTGTGTGTGTGTGTGTGTGTGTGTGTGTGTGTGTGTGTGTGTGTGAAAGAGAGAGAGAGAGAGAAATGAGAGAATGAGAGCAAGCAGTGATAGTACTCAGAGGAACAGGGCAGGGAGCTGGAATTGAAGAAGGGGAGTGAGGAACCACCGTGGAGAGCAGGGCAGGGACGGAGATCAGCCAGATCAGGGGACAGGCTGAGATGGGAGAAATGTCTTGCTGAGTTCAAGCCTGGGACAACAGCTGTTGGGACCAGAAGCCACAGGCTGACCCGAGAAAGGCCAGAAACAGGGAGGGGAGCCCTTGGCAGGCAGGATTTCAGAATGTGAGTCATTTTTCCTTTTGTTTGGGCAGAGTGTCCTAGCACTGGCTTGAACTTGAATCAGGCCTTACTGAAAACTTAACACTGACCCTGCCTGAGGCTTTTGTGCTGGAGCCGATTGGGCTTGGAGGGTAGCAGACAAGATGATAGAGAGGGCTAGAAGCAGGGTTGACCTTGGATAGGAGGACTTTCCCCCCCTCTTCGTTTCCTCACTCCGACATACTGATCAGAATGGGTTGGTGTGGTGGCATGGTAGGCCAAGCCTCTGCCTGTGGCCCCCAGCATCTTATATAGGCACCAGTCTGTGTCCTGCTCCACTTTCTACCCAGCTATCTACTTATGGCCTAGGAAAGCAGCAGAGGGTGGCCCTGAGCTGTTGGGCACCTGCATCTATGTGGGAGACCAGGAGGAAGCTCCTGGCTCCGACTTTAGGACCAGCCTAGCTCTGGCCATAGTTGCCATTTTGGGAATTAACCAGTGGACCAGGAGATCTCTTTCTCTGACTCTCCTTCTCTCTGTAAATCTGCTCCTTAAATAAAAATAACAGCAATCAAAACACAAAACAAAACAAGAAGAATGGCAGCACAGGGAAGGCTCCTTGTCCTTCCCTATCCGGACAGGCCCACCCCCCGACTGGTTCCACACCCAGGCGCTTGCCTGTGCTGGCTTCTGCAGCTACTGAATGCTAACTCCTGTGGTCTCAGTGCAGCCCCAGGTCCTTCCCTTCTCCCCTCACCTCTCATTCGGAGGTGCACTTAACCTGACCCTAATGACTGGCTACAATTCTTCTTCCTCAAAAATACTCTAAACTCCTCCGCTCAGATGCCATCTCCTCCAGGCAGCCTTCCCTCACCCCTCCTCCCTCACGTCCTCCTTTTAGGAGAATTCTCTGATGGATAAATTGTTTCTTATGGGATTTCTTGGGAATTACATGTTCTCTGCTGAGACCAAGGCTGGGAGTTTAGGGATTCTGTCTGCTTGTGCACTTTTCTAGCCCCAGTGTTGAGCACAGGGCCTGGCTCCTAGATGTTCAGTAGGTAGCTGCTGAATGTTCAGTAAGTAGGACAATCTATGCAGACAATCTACGGGAAGGCGCCGGGAGAAGAGAGACAGCTGGGGCAAAGGCAGAGGCCAGGAGAGCTTGAGAGCCTTCCAGGTGTCAGCTGGGAAATGTTTTACATTCCCGAAGCCAGTGACAGGACTGTGCATGCCTAGGGGCTGGAGCCTCTGCGGCCAGGACACATCAGGGCCTCCTGAGTCCTTGCGGCTGCCAGGCTCGGCTGCTGATGGGGGAAGGGCGGAGGCGGAAGCCCAGCATCTGTCACAGCTGGGCTGATGGCGCAGCGGGAGCCCTGAGGGGGGTGGGGAATTCAGCCCAGCTTCTGCCTTTGGCCTGGGGCTCTGGGCTCTTACTTGTCCAGACTGCTGGCTTCTCCCAGGGAGCCCTGGCCCCTAGCCCATCCCACTCCCCTCAGGCCCCTTCAGCAATAGGTCTTTCTGATGAGGTTTTCTTCCTCCATTCTCCCTGCCCCCATGGGGGGGGGGGTTCCTGTCTGGGCAGGAATTCATACCCTGATTGAAATGAGCAGCTGGGGCAGCCTGGGAGGCGTGGGTGATGCAGGGCAGCCATCAAAGGCCCTGTGTTTGCAGGGCTGGGGAGGGGGTGTGTGTGTTGGCTTGACCACCAGCATCAGAGAAGACAGCAGGAAAGACAGAGAAGGGCTAACAGAAAGACTGGACAAATAGGAACTGGGGTGTGTGGGGGGAGGGGGTAGATACTGCAGGCAGACACAGGTGGGAATGCAGAAATCAGGAGAGACAGCTAGGCTGGAGGGAGGACACGGGCGCACTGATGAAAGGAGACAAGATCAAGGACAAGGCGGCTTGGACTGACGGAGTGCATTCCCACGGGTTCATCCCCAGCGCTTGTGCTGGGAGCCCAAGCCACGGGCAGGCACAAGGGGCCAGGAGTGATTGCAGCAGGGACAGAAGATGAGGGACAGAAAGACGCGAGGTGGAGGTCTGGGCCTCCTGACGAGCAAACTAGGGAAGGGGGCAGAGATAAAGCAAAGACAGGCACTTAAGGAAGTGGGGGCTGCGAGCCAACGTCAGGAGCCTGGGGCTCTCCCACGGGCTTCCTTCCGGCCTCAGGTCCATCTCTGGACCGGCCTTTTGCCTTCACTGCTGCCCGCCTCCCTCCCCTGGAGCCCTTCCTCCTGCTCCCAGCTCTTCTGAGAGGAGGGAACTTCTGGCCTCAGGTAAAGACCGGCTTGAGAACACTTTGAGACAGGCAAAGTGGTGGGGGTTGGGATGGTTAGTGCTTGTCACATGAGCTCCGATGCGGGGCGGGTGTGCATCTTCGTGCATCTTCCATTTGGGGTCTGTGTCCCAGCCCCCCACAGGATGAAACCTCCCAGAAGCCTCCAGCCCGGGAAAGAAGCTGGTGCCCTCCCCGCCCCCACCCCACGCCTTCCTCCGCGCTGTCATCGCTGAGTAATGCCGCAGAGAAGAGGGTGGGCGGTGTCGGTCACCTACCCGCTGGTGCCGGGTCTCTGGGCCTGTGAGAAGCGCCAGTCCGTGTTGGGCGGAGCTTGCTGTGGAGAAAGCACAAGGAAAGGAACTGAGTGCCCGGGGGACCAGTCGGAAGTCGCCCCAGAGAGCCCCCCAGGCAAGGAGAGGAGGGGGCGTGGAGGCAAAGAGGCATTCCTGTGACCCTACTGGGCATGCCCAGAAACCGGCCCCTTATTCTTCATCCCCAGTCTCGGAGCTCCTGAGCCCAAATCCCAGTGCTGAGAGCATCTGGTGTGCTCCTGGGGCTAGGGGTATGGTGAGGGCCTCCACCAGGACCCCTGCAGGCCTTTGGAGATTTCCCAGCCCTGGAAGGAATTCCTGGAGCTCCCGAGCTGGGGACAAAGCATCCTCCACAGCAAGATGGCTGCTGCTCCCGGTAACCCTTCTGGTGCCGGGAGCCATTCCAGGGACACTTCCCTGGGTCCTGGGGCTCTCCAGGATCTCTTCCCACGGCTAAACACATTATTAACTTAGGAGTCATGCCAGGCCAGGCCTCTGCAGGGCATCCAAGCCCCGGGACACCTCTCACCCCCATGACTCCTAGCCAGACAAAGCCTAAGACTGAGAGAGAGAGAACAAGGCAGCTCTGTGTGGGATCCAGAAAATGGCTGGGCCGGAGCCCAGAGAGAGGGAGCTCCCACAGGCTCAGAGCAGAGCAAGCTGAGTTTCCAGGGTACCCCCAGGGGGCTTGTCTGTAGCCTCCTCCCTGCCTGGCTGAAGGTGTGCCATTCTGGCCAGCCACTAGGGTCTCATCACTCCTAGAGCCATCTTCTCACCAACTCTGAGAATTGTCCCCCAAGCCTGACAGGAGCAGAGCAGGAGCCACTCAGATGACATTGGGGAGAAGCAAGACCCAGAACAGCAGGTGACACACAACAAGTGACACACATCAAGGTTCACAGATGACACTGATGTGAGCTGAGCCCACGTACCTCCCAGGGAGCTCCTGTGCTTGCCAGCACCCTTGGAGGCTGCATGGGAAAGAGCATGGGGTTGTCCAGCTCTTAGCCACTGCTCACTCCTAACATGGTACAGGGAGACACAGGCATGGTGATGGGAGGAAAGGGGGGCCGGGTGAAGCTCAGCAGACATCAGGGAGGCGGGTCCAGCAGGGAGGTGGTGGATCAGTGAGGGAAGAACAGCTCGGGCAATTTTCTCCAGGGAAGGCAAGAGCCCCAGCTGTGCCCCAGCCCAGCAGACATAAACCTCTCCTCACTTCCAGCTTCACAAGTTCCAGGTGCCAAGACAGCAAAGCACCTGCCTGGCACTTGGACAGACACAGCTTAGACACTCCACCACTCACTTTGAACTTGAGCAGGTCATCTGACCACTGTGAAACTCAGTTATACTCGCGGGGAAAAATAACAAAGAGGATGCAGGCCCCCCGACAACAGCAGAGGCAGGAATGACAAGTGACGCACTGTGGTGTTCACAGGTGTCCAGTGAGGCTGTCCCCGTCAGTTGTAGAGTGACCCAAGGGACTGCTTCCAAAGCCAATCCTGGTTTGCTGCAAGCTGAAAGATTCTGAATAAAAGCTCCTCCAAAGGGTGCCTGGCGTCTGGTGCAGCTGTGGCTTTCCACCAGCTGAAGGAGCCAGGACCTGTCAAAGCCTCCAACATTTTGGTCACCCTGAAAACCCTGACCCTGATTGCTGGACACACTGTGGTCACCACTGAGACACCCCCTGGAATGCTTCAGACCCCCATTTGCCTAGGGGAGGAGGTACTGCTGGAACCACCTGTCCTATAGATACCTACCTGCTCATTCCCTCCCTCCAGGCCTGCTCTGCAGCACCTCACCTACCCCAAGCTTCTGAGGGTCAAAGGCCTCAGCACCAAACCCAGGGCCTCCCACAGTGACCCCTCCGCAGGGTGCCAGAGGCTCTGAGTCTCTCTCCCTTGCAGCAGGCTCAGTCTGGCCTGGCTTGCTCAAGGGTGAGGACTAAGTGTTGGCCTGGCTAGCCCTGGAGTAGTGGTTACTGGGACCCTTAGGTCTGAGGCCGCCCACGGTGAGAGCCTGGGCTGTGAGCCGCACAGGGACTTAAGCCAGTGGTGTGCTTAGCTCCCCGTGGCGTGGTCAGCTTGCGCATCAGAGGCTAGCCAACAGGTGCAGTGGGTTGGGTTGAAGAGATGAGGGCGCTGAGGTTAACAGAGAAGTCACAGCCTCCGCATGGAAGGGCTGACTGCAAGGGCGTCCAGAATCCCAGCTCCTCAACAATCGCCAGAAATTCACCAGCAGTCCAGACTTGCGGTCCCAAGCCTAACAGCGCACAATACCCACCACTTCCCAGCCCTGAGCTTGGAGCCCCACCCCAACCCCAGCCACTCTGCTTCCAGCGCACCAAGTCCAAACGGTTCCACAGAAAATCCGGTGCAGTGCAGCTGGCCACCAACCGGCCAGCCCGAAAGGAGAGGCTCATGGACCGTCCGGGAACCGTGGCTTCTGCCATGCCACACTCCAGAGGCTGCAGCTAGCCAGCCCTCACCTGGCTCAGCTCCTGCAGTGTGTTAGCACGGGACCGGAAGGCCTCGGGCTCTAGCGCCAGCGCGGAGGGCTGCTGCACGCTGAGTGGCCTTAGGAAAGTGAAGTCGCTGCCGTCGGAGGCCGGCGAAAAGCACGTGCGGTAGCAGTGGCTCTGTGAGTCCGTGGGCCGCAGTGTCACCTCCATGTACTTGAGTGTGCCGTCTGAGCTCACCTGCAGGTTGGGACTCGACTGCGTATAGAACTCCCCCGAGTTGGAGGCCTGCTGGCCACAGCATGAGCCCCCACCCCCATCCCTGTGGGCCTGCCCCCGCAGGCACTTGGCAGACAGAAAGCTGAAGGTGACCAAGGACATGAGGCTGATGGCCGCGAGGGCCACAATGAGGTAGAGGGTGAGGTCTGAGCGCTCGGGAGTGTGTGTGAGGAAGTCACTGGATTTGGGGGTCTCCTCGGGGTCCTCATCTTCTAGTAGGAGCAGCACGGTGGCCGTGGAGGACAGCGCAGGGTCTCCATTGTCCCTCACCAGGACCACCACCTGCTGCATGTTAGCGTCGTCCTCCAATAATGTTCTGGTGGTGCGCACCTCACCCGTGTGTGCAGACACAAGGAACAATCCCGGTGCTGTGGATTGGGGCAACAGGGAATAAGACAGCCAGGCATTGTGGCCCGCGTCAGCATCCACGGCCGTCACCTTGGTGACCAGGGAGCCGGCTGGGGCAGAACGTGGGAGCCGCAGGGGGGCTGAGGGTTCCCGACCAGGCTGGGGGTGCAGCACTGTTGGGGCATTGTCATTCTGGTCCAGGACAAACAAGTGCAGGGATGCATTGGCAGATAATGGGGGAGAGCCCATGTCTCGAACCCCAACCACGATCTGGAGCATCTGCAGCAATTCATAGTCGAAGGTTCTCTGGGCAAAGACTCGCCCATCCTCTGGATTAACGTACACGAAAGACGATGCCGGGGCTCCCTGAATCTGTGTCCCTAAAATGGAGTAGGTGAGGTGGGCATTCTCCCCAGCATCTGGATCAGAGGCAGCCACGGTGCAGAGGAGGGAACCCGGGGGCCGGTTTTCGGGGATGTAGGCAGTGTAGAGCTGCTGGGCAAAGCGGGGTGCATTGTCGTTCACGTCGGAAATGTTGAGCCTGATGATGAGCTGTGTATGTAGAGGTGGTGAGCCAGCATCGCTGGCCAGCAGCTTAATGCTGTAGTGGGCTGTGGCCTCGCGGTCCAAGGGAAGGCTGGTCAGCAGAGAATAGTGGTTCTCTGAAGGCTTAATCTGAAATGGCAGGTCTGGAGGGATCACGAGGCTCACCTCACCATTCCTGCCCGAGTCCCGGTCCCGCACATTAAACAATCCCACCACGGTGCCCACTGGGGTGTTCTCCAGCACAGGATTGACCAAAGAGGCCAGCAACACCTCTGGGGCATTGTCATTGGCATCCCCCACGTCTACTTGAATCACACAATGGCCCTCCATGGCCGGCTGCCCCTGGTCACGGGCCCGGGCATGGATTTCATAGAAACTCGACTCCTCAAAGTCTATGGGACCCAACACATGGATTGCTCCACTGGTGGGATCCAGGCCAAAGAGTTTCCGTACGGCCTCTGACGTGTGGTCTCCGAAAGAATAGGCTAGCTGGCCATTGGTACCCTCGTCTGGGTCAGTGGCATTGAGGCGGAGCAACAGTGTGCCCACAGGTGCATTCTCTGGAAGTCCCACACGTAAGACTGAGGACTGGAAGGCTGGGGCATTGTCGTTGATGTCCAGCACGATGATGGAGATGAGGCTGGTCCCTGAGCGAGCTGGGGTTCCCCCATCCACAGCTGTGAGCACTAGCCCATGCCTTGCCTGAGCTTCCCGATCCAGCTGCTGCTCCAGCACCAGCTCTGGGAACAGCTTCCCATCTTTGAGGGTCTTTACGTTCAGAGAGAAGTGGCTGCTGGGGCTGAGGGTGTAAAAGCTCACAGTGTTGGTACCCACATCTGGATCCTGGGCACTGTCCAGCGGGAACCGGGCCCCAGGTGCGGCCGACTCAGAGATGTGCATCTCCCGCTTGGGGCTGGCAAAGCTGGGGGAGTTGTCGTTGAGATCCAGGATCTCCACCTCCACCCGGATCAGCTCAAGGGGGTGCTCTGTCACCACCTGCACTGGCAGCAGGCAGCTGGTGCCGGCTCCACACAAGCTCTCCCGGTCAATCTTCTGGTTCACTGCCAGAACCCCACTCACCAAACTCAAGGAGAAATAACGCCCATTCTCTTCAGAGCCCAGCCGCAGGCGGCGGCTCAACAGATCAGATACCTTGAAGCCCAAATCCTGAGCAACATTCCCCACCAGCGTTCCTGGCTCAGCCTCCTCGAGCACTGAGTACCGGAGCTGCCCAGACACCCAGCCCCAGCAACACAAGGACAACATGCACAGCACTTGCCATCTCCCGGTGAGCTGTGGCGCTGCCGGCTCAGGCCCCATGACCCAGAAGTCCCTTCCTGGAGAGCAACTCTTGTGCTGTCTGGGCTACAAGGTGGACCCAGGCCTTGGGATGCAGCCGCCGAGATCTCTCTGATGGTTCCTACCAGCCCCTTACAAACTGCTCAGAGCTTTGCCTGCCTGCAGCAGCTCTTCTTAGTCACTGAACGGCGGGGGTGGGTGGCAGGGGGGAAGGGAGTTAAATCTGAGTGGAGCTGGGGAGGCTGGAGGAGGAGAGGCAGGCAGGAAGAGCAGATCCCCCACCTCAGTTCTCCGTCTGATTGGCCAAAAAGTCTGTCTGCTCTCAACCAATTATGAAGTCTCCTCGAGCCCGGAAACCTTAGGAACGAACGGGGAGCACTCTGAATGTGTCACACGAGCCCCCCCCCACACACTCATTTTGTGCCGCAGGTTGTTTTAGCCCCTTTGGCAGCAAAGTTTGATGGTTCAGATGGTATTCTGCGGGGCAGACAGGGTGGTACAAGATTCTCAGTGCTCTGTCCCAGCAAATTCCAGCACTATCTAGGAGCTTGCCACTACTTCCCTTGGACCAACAGCATTTTGTCTCTGGGGATGGGGACAAAGCCCTGTGTCTGACCTTCCCTCATTCCTGATGCCCAATTCTGCCGGGGTGAGTGGCTATCTCCGGTTCCTCCACTATCGATCAGTTATCTGACATTAAATGATTTCACTTGAAACTTTCCCAATGTGATAGTGCTCCCCACCCCTGCTTCTAATGTTATTGCATGTGGTTCCAGTCCCAGGAGGTACCTGACTGGAAATCCTAAAGATCTGGGCCAGAAGACCTCAGCTACCACTTTGATCCATGTCTTTTTATTCCCTTGGCTCACCTTGTACCCCGTCTGTACCCCATCTCCAACTTTTTCCTCCTCTCCTTTAAAGATTTATTTTATTTTTATTGGCAAGCCAGATGTACAGAGAGGAAGACAGACAGAGAAGATCTTCTGTCCAATGATTCACTCCCCAAGCAGCTGCAACGCCCGGAGCTAAGCCGATCCAAAGCCAGGAGTCCAGAGCCTCTTCCAGATCTCCCAGGCGGGTGCAGGGTCCCAAGGCTCTGGGCCGTCCTCAATCACTCTCCCAGGCCACAAGCAGGGAGCTGGATGGGAAGCAGGGTAGTCAGGACTCGCCCACATGGGATCCCAGCACATGCAAGGCTAGGACTCCAGCCACTAGGCTACTGCGCTAGGGCTTGCTAGCGCTAGGGCTAACCCACAGTGGGTTATGGAGTGCTGGATACTATGGGGCAAGGACTTTTAGCTTCCCTCAGTCCATTGAGCGATGATGACAAGTGTCAAGATACTCCAAAACCTGACAACTCTCCCCACCCTCGCCACCATTCAGGAAGAGTAAAGAACACAGCTCTCATGTAGACCACTGGTGCGCCCTACCCCTGTGGACCACAGCCTTCTCCACTCTCCAGTTCTGTGAGCATGCCACCCACAACAGGCTGGCTCTTGACCACCAGTCGCTTCCACTTCGTACTCTCAGATTATGGGCAGAACCCATCCTGAACTGCCAACCTGGGACATCTCCTGGCTCATTCACCACAGACTTGTAAAGCACAAAGATCCACCACAGAATTAGCGCTCGCATGACCGTGACATCACCATAGGCTAGTGCAGGGAGGCCAGTCCTCTCATCGAGCGGGACCCGGACCTGGACCTGGATCCAAACAACCCTCTAGCACTGGCCAAGTCTGCGAAAGTCTCACCTCTAGCCCATAGAGAAGATCAGAGGGTGGGCAGCTCGGGCGAACGGGCTCCCCTGCCATAGGCGCACTAGGCGACTTCACCATCATGAAGCTATCACTCCGAGTGGGTGCAGAAGCCAAGGGCGTGCAGCCATGGGAGTGGCCTCCCACATCCACAAACTTGATAGGATCATCTGACCCTAGCTGGATGCGGAGGATCCCACTGGAAGGAGGGAGCCCCTCCCTCCTCCGGGGTCGGCTGAGGCAGCCACAGGGGCCAGCAGGAAAGCAGGTCACTCCACAGGTAGCCCCTCGTAAGCACTTGGAGAGCAGTGCCACGAAGGAACCAAAGGAGACAAAGCAAATGGCCACTAGGGATACAGCCAAGTAGAGGGTCAGTCGGGACTCTCCTTCCCTCGGAGCCGAAGACTCTCGAAGATCAGGGACAATCGGGTGAGCGTCTTCTTCTAAGGACACTAGGAGCGTGACAGAGGTAGAGAGTGGAGGGCTCCCGCTGTCCTTCACCACAATGACCAGCTTCTGGGGCGGGAGGTCTGCGGGGATGGGGACAGCCGTGCGCACCTCCCCAGCATAGCGAGAGACAGCAAACAGACTGGGGTCTGGAGCCTCCAGGAGCTGATAGGAGACCCAGGCATTGTAGCCTGAGTCCAAATCCACGGCAGTCACCTTGGTGACCAGGTGGCCGGCACCTACCGATGGAGGCAGTGCCTGGGGACACAAGGAACCAGGCCTGGCCCGAGGGCGCAACACCGCTGGAGCATTGTCATTGAGGTCCAGCACGAACAGCCGGACCGTGACCGTGCTGCTGAGGGGTGGGTTGCCCCGGTCTCGGGCCTGCACCTCAAACTGCAGCGTCTGGGTCTGCTCATAGTCGAAGGAGCGGGTGGCATGAACAGCTCCTGTCTGAGGGTTCAGGGAGATGAAAGAAGAAGCCGACACATCTCGATTTCTGGGCTCCAGGAGAGAGTAGGAGATGAGTGCATTGAGGCCGGAGTCCGGGTCGGAGGCTGCAAGGGAGCAAAGCAGGTCCCCTGGGCGGTTGTTCTCAGGAACAAACACCTCATGTGACCTCTGGAAGAACGAGGGCGGGTTGTCATTCACATCAGAGATATTGAGGAAGATGGTCCTGTGGGTGCTCAGAGCAGGGCTGCCGGCATCAGAGGCAGTGACCAGGATGTCATAGCTGGATTTGGCCTCTCGGTCCAAGGCCCCAGCCGTGACCAGGGAGAACTGGTTCCTGAAGGCAGACTTGAGGGCAAAAGGCAGGTGGTCTGGGATTCGGAGGCTGACATCCCCATTGGAGCCAGAGTCTGGGTCCTGCACGCTGATGAGGGCCACCACTGTGCCGGGCTCTGCGCTCTCAGGGAGCGTCCCCAGCTCTGAAGTCACGGTGATATGAGGGGCATTGTCGTTCACATCCAGGAGGTCCACCCGGAGGCTGCAGTGCTGCTCCATGGCTGGAGAGCCCCCATCACGGGCGCGCACATCAAACTCGTAGTAGCTCTCGCTCTCGAAGTCCAGGGGCCCCTGGAGCGTGAGCTTCCCGGTGGTGGGGTGCAGGCTGAAAAGGTTTCTCACGCGGTCAGGGGTGTGGCCGCTGAAGGAAAAGGTGACGTTACCGCTGGGACCCAGGTCCGGGTCGGAGGCGTTAAGCTGAATGAGCAGCATGCCAGCGGGCGCGCTCTCGGGCACGCTGATCCGGTAGCTGGATTGCTGGAAAGCTGGGGCGTTGTCATTGACGTCCAGCACCGACACCCGGAGCTCCGCGGTACCGGACCTCGGGGGATTCCCTCCATCCACCGCTGTCAGCACCAGGCGGTAGTCGGACTGTTTCTCACGGTCCAGCGGCTTCTCCAGGAGCAACTCGGGAACCAGGCTGCCGTCACTGCGCTTCTTGACATCCAGGGCAAAGTGTTCATTGGAGCTCAGCCTGTAGCTGCTGATGGAATTGCTCCCCACGTCTGCGTCCTGCGCCTTCTCCAAGGGGAAGCGCTGTCCTGGGGGAGCCGCCTCCCCGATCTCCAAGTCCAGCTGCTGCCGCGGAAACCGGGGGGCGTGATCGTTCACATCTACGATCTCCACCTCGGCTCGGTACATTTCCAGAGGCCCTTCAGTCACAAACTCCAGGGGCACGATGCAGCTGGCACTGAGCCCGCACAGTGCCTCGCGATCGATCGGGTTCTTGATGAGCAGGGCGCCACTGTCCAAATCCACACGGAAGTGTCTTTGGTTCACCTGGCCAGCGACCTGCAGCCTGCGAGCTGCCAGGCTCTCGGTATCCAGCAGGAAATCCTGGGCGACATTCCCTACAAAAGTCCCCTCCTGTGACTCCTCCGGGACCGGGTATCGGATCTGCCCCCACACATAACCCAGGTGGCACAGAAGGAACAAAAGGGTAGCCCCCCGCCAGATGGCTGCTGTTACCCGCCTTCTCACCTTGCTGAGCATCGCTGCCGCCTGCCCGCTAATTCTTCACTCCGTCCTGTGAAGCAGAAGAAGCCGACCCGCCCCAAACCGCCACAGCAGCTGGAGACACCTAGTCCCTTTGCCCGCGCCAGCTCTGGCGCCGCTGGGCCGGCGCTGCAAGGGTTACACGCGTTTTTTTTTTTTTTTTCTCTCTTTTCTTTTTTCTTTTTCTTTTTTTTTTTTTGTGCTGGTGGCGGGGTAGATTTGTCTGCCTTTCACTACCCGATTGGCAGACGGCGGCTCCTGGGCTCAGCCAATAGGCTGAGCAGACAGCATCCCAATAGCAGCAGGGTTAATGCGACGCAGCATTGGGAAAAAAAAAAAAAAAAGCCCACAAAAAATCAAAACAAAAAAAAAATGCTTGAAAAAATGATAATCATAAAATAAACCTCAACCTATCTTTTCGCCTCTAACAGCATTTCTTGTCACGGGTTACTACCTCTGTGGACAGCAGACAGTATGCATGCTTTTCTTCCCCCCTCCTAACACACCAAGTCACCCCGCCCCTTTTTGGCTGGGAAAACGGCTACAGCCTGAGCCCTAGCAACCTGCCGCCCAGAGGAGGGAGTAGCCATTTGAGACTGGTCACTTCATCCAAAACAGTGTTGCCATCAACCAATACTGCAAACGAGTAGCCTCAAGTCTCATGCTGGTGATATTAGAGCCATGGCTAATGAGTAACCCTGCCGTACATGCAAACCTCTGCCCCTCTGCAGGATTATTTACAAATGTATCCATCTCATTGCGGAGAAGGTTCACGCATGAACGCATGAAGGTAGCCAGCTCAATGTGTTCAGTGCCCATTTCTGTTGTAACAAGAGGCACCCAGAGAAAACCAATGTCTTCAGGCATTTGTTGGTGATAAACTGAATCACCATTCGTCAATTTTCAGGATAGTATGAGAGCAAGCCGAAAGCCAAGAGAGGAAGGCGTTCCAGGACAGTAAAAAAATCATTGTGTCTGGAAGGTGCTAAGGACCAGATCTTGTTACCTGGCCGATTGCAAACGAACACAGATTTAACAGCTTTCTTGAATGACTGGGATCAGCTACTAGTGGCACTGTGCCTACAAATCTTTATTTGACACTATAGTATTCTTGATATGTTGTTAATTACCAACAGAGACCATTTCAAAAGAGCGAGCTTTTTACTTAGCCCCGGGGGGCCTCTTGTAACCAGAGATTCCAGCTCTCCCCACCCCCACCCTTGTCCAGACCTCCAGGCAGCCCGACTACTGACTTGCACAAGTACAGAAACACAGTGCATATTCTGCGAGCTGTAACCTGAGTGGGAAAATGGCCAGGGCACAGGGAAGGAGGAAATCCAAGCTGATCTGGACAGGAGACTGCCTCTTAACACATCCCAGTGCTTTCTTAGGCTGACTGCTGTGCTTTCCAGAACTAGCAGCAAAAACTGGTGTTCTTATCTTCCTCCAATTTTTTTTTTTTTTTCAAAACCCTGATCTTCAGAAATATCCTCCTGACTGTGATGAGACCAGCAACCAACAGTTTGGTCTCCAAGAGAGGGAATCTGACTCCCTCTATTTTACTAAACTGCATAAATAAACAAATCTAAACTTCTTCCCATGGGAACAAAGGAGGTATGCTGTATTAGCTGGAACCTCTCAAGGTGTCTGTACCAGAATTCACTCTCCTGGGAATGGCACCACCATCCACCAGCTGTCTTAGAATTCTCCTGGGTGAAGAGGGGAGCTCATCCTTGACGCACCCCTGCCCCTTACTTCCTATAGCATGTCAATCACCAAAGTCTGATGGGTTTATCATCATCATCTCCCTTCATGAGCACTGCACTGGCTCAAGCACTTATTAATCTGCTCCTCAAATAATGCAATCGCCTTCTGTCTGATCCCTTTGTCTCCAGTTCCAATGGTCCCCAATCCGCTTTCCTTACGCTTATCAGAATAATCTCTTTCAAACCAACCAACAAGGACCTGAAGACACCAGGCGTGTGTCAGTTCAAAATCCTGCACTGACCATCATCCACACAGAACAGAATTAAAACTTGCTGGTGTGGTCTCAAGATGACTCTATGCAATTCCTGACTGGTTGCTTCTCTCTCTCTCTCTCTCTCTCTCTCTCTCTCTCTTTACACACACACACACACACACACACACACACACACACACACACACACACACACGCGCGCACACACACACACACACACACACACACACACACACACACAGCCTTCTGCACGACACTTCATGTAGTGGACCCCTTCCTGCTCTTGTTACCTTTGACTGTTTGATAAGCCACTCACTCACTACTCAATCTTTGCCACCGGGGGGGGTCTTCCTGATTTCCCAGCTGACAGAGGCGTTTCTTCCCCTTCCCCTTCATGCCCACTGCTGCTTGTACCACACACCTCTCTGCGATCTTTTATCTGTCTCCCCTGGCCACACTTGGTGTTTCACCATGACAGAAACTTTGTCTTGTCATATTTTACAGGGTGTGATATAAGAGTGCTTATAAGTGGGGGATATTGACATTGCTTCATGAGCTTAGCAAATATTTATTTTTAACACTTGCTATGTGTAAGGCAGTTCATAGGCATTGCTTTGGACTCTGGCAACCATTTTGCATGTTACAGATGAAGAACCCGGAGTTTAGAGAAACTAAGAAACTTAAACTAGGATGTATGTGCAGCACCATACTTGTATTTAGAAGTTCACAAGTATAGTCTGTTTTAGTGGAGTTTGAAGCCTTAGGATATCTTAATCCTACATATACTTAACTCCATCTTTTCATACCAGGTTTATAATTCTCTGATATCTAGACTTTTTACCAACTTTAGTAAGATACAATTCACATACCATACAATTCACCCTATAATTCACACATTATATGAATATACAATTCATATAACACATATAAATCAGTGTCTTTTAAGTATACTCATGCTTATTAAACTGATGCAATCACCATACTAATTATAGAACATTTTATGTCAGTTACACTAAAAACAAACCCAATACCTCTTTTGTCCAGCGCAAGATTTAAAAAAAAAACATATATTTATTTATTTAATTTGAAAGGCAGAATTACAGAGAGAGAAGGAGAGAGAAAGAGAGAAGGTTCTTCACTCTTCATCTACTGATTCACTCCCTAAATGGCCACTGTGGCCAGAACTGTGCTGATCAAAAGCAATGAGCCAGGAGCTGCTTCCAGGTCTTCCACATAGGTGCAGGGGCCCAAGGATGTGGACCATCCTACACTGCTTTCTCAGGCCAGAAGCAGGGAGCTGGATTGGAAGCAGACCAACAGGTATTTGAGACAGTGTCCATATCGGATGCTGGCGTGTAGGTGGAGGTCCAGCCTACTATGGAGCTGACCCCCAGCACTAGATTTTTAAAGAGGAAATATCTAGGTTTAAGAAAATATTCTCTTCATATGGTCAAAATGCTGTTTTATCTCTTTCCCATGTAATACTTCTAGCTTGGGAAATGACATTACAATATTAAAAAGAAATTGTGCCTAGTGGGCTGGTGTTGTGGCATAGCAAGATAACCTACAACACCACCATTCCATCTGGGTACCAGTTCAAGTCCAGGGTTGCTCCATTTCCAACCCAAATTCCTATTAATGTATATGAGAAAGCAGTAAAAGAAGGCCCAAATACTTGGGCCCTGCACCCACATGACAGCCCCAGAAGAAGCTCCAGGTTCCTGATTCTGGCATGGCACAGCCCAGGTCATTGGGGCCATTTGGGAAGTAAACCAGTTGATGGAAGAGGTGTGTGTGTTTCCCTCCCTTTCTCTGTAACTCTGTCTTTCAAGTAAAAGAAAAACTTTTTAAAAATTTGGGCCGGGGTCCTGGCATGGTAGCCTAGTGGCTAAAGCCCTTGCTTTGCGAGTGCCAGGATCTCATAGAGGTGCCGGTTTGTAACCAGGTTGCTCCACTTCCCACCCAGTTTCCTGCTTGTGGCCTGGGAAAGCAGCGGAGGATGGCCCAAAGCCTTGGGACCCTGTATCTACATGGAGACCAGAAAGAAGCTCCTGGCTTCAGATTGGCTCAGCTCTGGCTGTTGCAGCTACTTGGAGAGTGAACCAGTGGACAGAAGATCTTCCTCTCTGTCTCTCTTTCTCTCTGTAAATCTGCCTTTCCAATAAAAATAAATAAATTTTTTGAAGAACTGGGGCTGGCCCCATAAAATTGGCTTCTGCTTCTGTGACTATCAGCATAGCACTTTGCTTAGTTACTATGCTGAATGTCAGAGCGGCAGGATCTAAGGCAATGACTTTCAAACCTGTCTGCACGTTAGGATTACCCAGGGATCTTAACAAAACACATAGAAGCCCATGTGGCACCTAGAGATGGTGCTTCCGCTAGTCTAGGTGTGCCCTGGATCTGGAAAATTTTACAAGGTCCTTAGGTGATCCCAGTGTGCCAGCAAGTTGAAGAACGGTGTTCTGGAATAAACGTCCTGTCCGTTGCCTTTCAAGGTGTCTGGAAGAGCAGTAGCTGTTTCTCTTTGGCTTTCACCCTTCTTTAACCTCCCCCAATTACCTACTTGATGCTCTTTAGCTGTCCTCATATTTGTTCATTTCCAAGGTGTGTTTTAGGTGGATGAAGAACTAACAAAATAACAAATAGTGATGACTAATAATTTGTAAGTCATGATATACCAGGCCTTGTGCTAAGCACTTCACAGGAAGTATGCACACATTATTTCCCATAAACCTCCTTGTTCTTTGCTTTGTGCTATGAAAAAGAAGGAGAAGGGAGACAGAGTAACTTGGCTAAGGACTCTTGGGTGGCAAGCGGTTGAGCCTTATTTGTCTAACTGCCAGAGAAAGTGTTAACAGCAGTCATGCCCTTACGGTCAAAATCTCAGTGGTTCTCCTACAGCTGAAAGTCCACGGAAGCTTCTCTCCTTGTGGCCTCCTGAATACCATCCTGACTGACCACTTACACTTTCCAGGGGTGTACATTCACCTATCTTTCACATTATGTACAAACCTGAGACAAATAACATTGGGAGGTTCGGGAACAGCACTGCAGGTACACTACAAGGATTTTCATGCTGCATTTGATGCTCATTTGGGTCATCTAGATTTATTTTTGAAATCAATTACTTTTATAATTAACAGTGGTAGGGCTGAAGCACTTAGTGTAGTAGGTTAAGCCTGAGGTACTGGCATCCCATATGGGTGCCAGGTCAAGTCCTGGATGCTCCTTTTTTGATCTAACTCCCTGCTGATGTACCTAGGAAAACAGTGGAAGATGGTCCAAGTGCTTGGAGCCTTGTACCATGTGGGAGACCAGAAGAAGCTTGTGGATCCTGACTTCAGATCAGCCCAGCTTTGGCCATTGCAGCCATCTCGAGAATGAGCCAGCATATGGAATCTCTGTCTCTCTTCTTTTCGTATCTCTGCCTTTCAAATAAAAATAAAGACCTAAAAAAAAAAAAAAAACCCATCAAATTTTTAAAAACCTGATTATTTTGGAGTTTGAGGATTGTAGCTAATTTTAGCTTTCCTTTATAATCTTCTATAATTTCTAAATTTTCGAAAAGATTTATTCCTATTGCAAAGTCAGATATATGGAGAGGAGGAGAGGCAGAGAGGAAAATCTTTTATCTGCTGATTCACTCTCCAAGTGGTTGCAACAGCCGGGGCTGAGTCAATTCAAAGTCAGGACCCAGGAGCTCTTTTCAGGTCTCCCACATGGGTGTAGGGTCCCAAGGCTTTGGGCCGTCCCCGACTGCTTTCCCAGGCCACAAGCAGGAAGCTGGATGGGAAGTAGGACCTCTGAGGCATGAACTGACGCCCATATGGGATCCCAAGGACTTAAGCCACTAGGCTACCATGCCAGGCCCAATTTCTAAATTTTCTACAGTGAACATGCATTAGTGTTCTAACATGAAAATATCTGGGAAGTCACCTACACATGATTTCCAGTAGAGTGCTTGAAGGAAATTTTAGAGATGCCTAGATTTTCATTCCACTCATAGAAAATTATCTGAAAATGAGGCACAGGATTTGGGTAGACAAGAAAAAAATCACCATAGAGCCATTATTTTTATGCAGATGTAGCATCATTTGAAAGATCGATGAATGCGGGAGTTTTTATATTCCTAGCAGCTGCCACTAATCAGAGCTTGCTCCCGATGCAAATTACATCACCCTAAACACATCACCCAAGGCTGAGATCCCAGGTCCCAGCACAGCCAGCCCTTAGCAAGACTGGTTGGTTGGTTGTGATGGCTAATGAGTGCAGAGAGAATGGACTGGCTCCACAGATGAATCAAACAGCTCCATCCTGAACCAGAACCACAAACCACGCTCCATCCAGCCCCTCTCATCCCATAGGCACTGAGTTTGCTCTAGGAACCATCAGAGAAAGCCTGGATCCCTCATCTTTGTCAATGAAACAACTCCACCCACACTTGCCTGAACAGGCTTCCCAGAGGACTTGCTATCCCTTACCTGTCCGGGAGGGGCGCTCTCGGCACCCAGCACCTGCCTATAGAATGCAGGATCACAGCTCCGCAGCGTGTTCTGGCGACTGGCCAGAGGGCTGGCCGCCCCAGGTTTCTTCAGCAGCGGGTCGCTGCGGCGCGAGTCTGTGGTCAGGTACATCTGATGATACAGGTGCGGTGGCATCATGCCTCCGCGCACCGCATCTACGTGCAAGGAGGTCGCTGGGGTGCGATACAGGGAGCTCACTGGGGCTCGGTAGAGGTCCCTAGACTGTTTCCACTTGTAAATTTTGAAGATGATCACGCCTAGCACCGTGACTGCGAACCCCACTGAGACCAGGATTAGGGAGAGGAGGAGATAGAAAGTGAGATTCTTATTTTGTTCCCGAGGGGCGGAGCCAGAGGGGAACTCTGCGTGGGCCTCAGGAGACTCCTCAGTTACCGACACGGTCAGCGTGGCAGTGGTGGACAATGACGGCTCCCCGTTGTCCTTGATCAGGACCGTCAGAATCTGCCTTGGGGAATCTGTGTCCTGCACCGGGCGGGCAGTGCGGATTTGGCCCGTGTGCAGCCCCACCGCAAAGAGGCTCTGGTTGGAGGCATCCAGTAGGCTGTAGGAGAGCCAAGCATTGTGCCCCGCGTCGGGGTCCCAGCCCACTACCCGTGAGACCACATGGCCCATTGGGGATCCCCGAGGCAGCATCTCCATGGAACTGTGGCCCAGACGGGGGTACAGGACCTGGGGGACGTTGTCATTGCGGTCCGTGACATATATGTTCACGCTGATATTGGTGGCCAGCACTGGGCTGCCCCCGTCGCTGATGTGAGCTGTTAATTCGAACTCGCGCTGGTCCTCATAGTCCAGGGGCATCAGGGATGAGAGGACACCTGTGTCCCTGTTGATGGTGAAATAGCGACCCACGAGGGCGCTGTCTGCTCCAGGCTGCTCCAAGAGGAAGAAGGACAGTCGTGCGTTCGGTGGGGCATCGGGGTCCCAGACACTCAGGTTGAGGATCGGAAGCCCCGGAGGGTTGTTCTCTTCCACATAAACATCATAGGAAGACTGCGAAGACTGGGGGGGATTGTCGTTGACGTCGGACACCTGGACCCGCACTGCGGTCACCGCGGATAGTGAGGGCACACCCGCGTCGCGTGCTGTGACACTGAGGTTGTACTCAGACACCGCCTCGCGGTCCAGGCCTGCACTGGTTTTTAGGGTGAAGTAATTCTTGAATGTCGAGGTCAGGCTGAAGGGAAGCCCTGGCGGAAGCTCGCAACTCACCAGCCCGTTATCACCAGCATCCAGGTCCGTCACGCTGAGCAAAGCAATCACGGTCCCCAGGGGTGCGTCCTCGGGGACAGGGCTGTACACAGACGTGACCGTGATCTCTGGGGCATTGTCGTTCACGTCCACCACCTCCACCAACACTTTGCAGTGTGCGCCTTCCGGGTTGGCCCCTTGGTCCTTGGCCTGGATGTAAATCTCATGCAGTTTTGTGTCTTCGAAGTCCAGGCGACCCTTGATTGTCAGCACCCCAGTCACCATGTCTAGAGCAAACAGCTCCCGGACGACGGCACGATTGTGGCTACCGAAGGAGTAAATGATGTCACCGTTGGGGCCTTCATCCAGATCCGTGGCCAGGACTTGCACCACGCGAGTACCGGGGGGCGCATCCTCCGGGACCCGCGCCCGGTAGAGGGACTGATTGAAGGAAGGCGCATTGTCGTTGGCATCCAGCACTGTGATGAGAATGGGGAGGCTGGCGGAGCGAGCGGGGCTCCCTCCATCCAAGGCCGTCAGCACCAGCTGGAGACTTGGCTCTCGCTCCCGATCCAGGGCGCGCTCCAGGACCAGTTCCGCGTACTTGGTGCCGTCCTCCCGCGTCTGCACGCGAAGCGCAAAGTACTCGTTTCGGCTCAGTTCATAGGTTTGCAGAGAGTTACTGCCCACGTCGGGATCGTGCGCGCTTTCGAGCGGAAAGCGAGTCCCAGGCGCCATGGCCTCGCTAATCTCCAATTTCATCTCCCTCGTGGGGAAAGCGGGGTTGTTGTCGTTGATGTCCTGGATCACCACCTCGGCACTGAACAGCTCCAGCGGCTTCTCCACCACCAACTCCAGAGTTAGCGTGCAGGAAGGCAGCGTCCCGCACAGCTCTTCCCGATCCAGGCGGTCGCTCACCAACATCTCGCCCGTCTCCCAGTTCACCTCAAAGAACCTCCGGCTGGCCCCGGACACCACCCGGAGCCTGCGGGCCAACAGGCTGTCGAGGTCCAAATTAAGGTCCGCGACCACATTCCCCACGGAGAAGCCCTTCTCTCTTTCCTCCGGGATCTCATAGTGAATGACGGTGGAAGCTTTGCTGAAAGCGCCCAGCAGAAGCAGAACTCCCAGCACTCTTCCAGTTCTTACCAGTCCTCTCCTCCAGGCCTCTGGGACCATCGCACTCCAGAGCAGTTCCAGATCTAGGGCGGCCCCGCGGTGTCGCTGAGAAACTTTCAGCCGCTTAGCGCTGGGACGCTGGGCGCCGAGTCCGACATGGCTTTCTGGGTGCCGCTGATTTGCTCACTGGCTGTTCAGTCTCTGCCTCATCCCGGGGCGCCGAAAGGGGACGGGCCGGGGCCGGATCTCCAGCGTCTTCATTGGCCGACAGCGGTACACAGAGTCCCAGCCAATAACTGCACGAAGAATGCGCTAGCGCCGGGCTTTTGGAGCAGAGCGCGCCAGCTCAGAGAACTTTTCCCTTTGGCGGTCTTCCGGAGCTCGCAGGCAAGGCGCGACTGCAGAGGAAACCCACCTGACCCCAGAGAGGAGGCGGAGCCGGCCACACTGCAAGCCCCCGCTCCCCCCCAAGCCCAATCAAGGTCCACCAAGAACTTTTCATCTCTTTTTTTCCGGGGGATCAGATCAAATGGAAAAGTACCACTGAATCTGGTCGGCTGGCGGATGGGCCAGGGGCCAGACTCCCGTTAGTGAAGAGGCATTACTATGTTGTAGGAATTGTTGAGAATTCTTATTTTATCGTCTCCTAAGGAGGGTCTACGGTTCTCTGTCCCTTCCACCGCAAAACCAATCAACAAGAACCACTCTGCTTGCATGAAGTCTACTAAGGAATTTACTATAAAACTCAAATTTTTATTTCTTTTAAAACAGGGGGCTTCTGTTTAGCTCTCTTCTCTTAAGAACTAGGGAGCCAAGTGAAATTTTCTGACCGTGTGTTTCCCAGGGAACAAGATCTCAGCCAGCTGGAGTGAGAACTTTTAAATGCCTCCCTTGATCCATCCTTTTCTCAAGATCTTGGGTTCACATGTTACAAGAAGTTCTGTTACTAATAAAGAAAACCCCCACAGACATAAAAGAGGAAAGAAAAAGAGAACACAGGCCTACTGAGTGCCCAGGAACGGCGGCAATGGCAGCAGAGCTCCGGAGAGTCTTGGGAGAAACCCAAAGCTTCGAGGCACATACTACAGTTTTCTGCATCTGGGATTAGAGTCACTATAAAAAAGGAGTGATAAGGACAATGAGTAAGAGGGAGCAGGCATTGTGGAGCAGCTGACTGGGCTGCTGCTTGGACACTCGCATGTCACATGTGAGAGCTGGGTTTGGATCCCAGCTCCTCTTTGCAATCCAGCTTCCTGCTAATGAGACTCCCATGCAGGCACAGGTTCCCAAAGCCCTGGGCCATCCTTGACTGCCTTCCCAGGTCACAAGCAGGAAGCTGGATGGGAAGCAGGGCTGCCAGGGTTAGAACTGGTGCCCATCTGGGATCCTGACACATGCAAGCCGAGGACTTTAGCTGCTAGGCTACCACATGGGGCCCATTTTATTTTACTTTTTAGAGATTTATTTGAAAAGCAGAGTTAGAAGCAGAGACGCGGGGATCTTTCATCTACTCATTCACTCCCCAAATGACCTTGATGACCCAGAGTTGGGCCAGGCATTAGCCAGGACCCTTGGAATTCTAGGCAATTGCCCCACATCGAGGGGCAGGATCCAAAGACGTTGGCATTATCTGCTACCTTCCTAGATTCATTAACAGGGAGCTGGAAAAAGAAGTGGAGAAACTTGGACCCAGATTTGTGCTCTGATACTGGAGTCACAAGCTCTGGCTCAGCCTACTGAGCCACTCTGATGGCCAGTTGAATCCCTTGTTGCCAAAATGGGCACCTGATGCTTACTAACATTGATATCTTCCACTAATGGCATTGTAGACACAACATACACTAAGTGAGACCCAGATGAATATTCTGGATCCCAGCTGTGGCTTGGCCCAGTCCTGGCCAATGTGGCCATTTGGGGGAGTGAACCAGCAGATGAAAAGCTCTCCCTTTCTCTCTCTCTGCTTTTGGTTTTCTCTCTCTTTGTAATCCTGCCTTTCAAATAAACAAATGAATCTTTAACAAAAATATTTAACAACAACAACAAAATCCAAAAATGTCCATACTTTTTGCGCCACTCAAATCCAGAGGAGAATGAGGTATCAACAGAATTTTCCAATCTCTATTTTTCCTCTCTTCTATATTTTCAAGATAGCCTCTGACCGAGTTGGTCAATCATAATAATAATTGCCAAATAGCCAGTGACTGTATTATAGTAACCAAGAGTTAGGCCTCAATGTCGAAGACTTAGATTTCAATACTGGATATTACAGTTAGTTGCCATGAAACTTTTCTTTATAAAGTGGAAATAAAAGTACTAGTTGGTATAACTAATGGCTCACAATCACTTTTGAAATATTTGAATAGTTTTATTCTTACCATATAGCTTACTTGTATGATTGGAGGATTTCTAGAAGTTTGTAGTCCTGTGACCAAGCCCACAATGTAGTTTTAGACTTCAATCACCCTCATTCCCATCTATTTTCAATCTTGTTCCTGTTCTCAGTTCCAGGCATTCACTGACTGATCCACTTTCTCTCTAGGTGGTTTTTGTTTTTTATAGAACTTACATCATCAAAGGGTTGAATTATATATAATCTTTTTAATCTGGCTTCTTGCAGATTCAACGTCAAGCCCTGCTCTTGACTCCACCCTCAAGTCTGCTCCTTCTCCAACCCTACTCATTGGGAAAGCAATACTGTCTTTTTTTTTTCTTTTTTTTACATCTTTTGTATCCCCACATTCAATTCATTACTGATCCACACCAATGGCTCTGCTTCCAAAATATGTCTGGAAATTACTGATGACATTCCTGTCTTCTGTCCCAAACTGAGCCAAAGCCATCACAGCTACTGTCATAGCTTGCTCACTGGTATTCTTTTTTTTTAAAATTAATTTATTTTATTAATTGCATTGCATTATGTGACACAGTGTTATAGGCATTGGGATTCCCCCCACTCCTCCCCGAATCCTCTCCCCATGGTGGATTTCTCCACCTTGCTGCATTACCACTGTTCAAATTCAGTTGAGGTTTTTTCATTGGAAGTATTTACCAAGCATAAAGTTCAGTGTCTTATTATCCTAGTGGGTTCCACGATTTCTTGGTGGGACCATCTCTGGTCTGAAGGTAAAGCCAGCAAAGTATCATCCCAATCAATTAAAGGCCCCGACATAGCATCAACAGCCATTTACAACCTTATGGCATTAATTGACATGGTATTGATTAATAGTATCTTGATAGGAAAATGTGGTTTCTTAACTACATCCTGTGATTTCTTCATAGACATTTAAATTTTGGTTTATATTCAACCTGATTCCATACAGTTATCCTCACTGGTATTCTTACTTCCTTTTTTTGTTTTCCCTAAATCTACCTCACATATGATAAATAGAGCATATATGTATATATATATATTTATTTTATTTTCTTGTAAAGGCAGATTTACAAAGAGCAGAGACAGAAAAGAAGATCTTCTGTACATTGTAGCTACTCCTGAAGTAGCCACAGTGGCTGGAGTTGAGCAAATCCAAAACCAGGAGCCAGGAGCTTCTTTGGGTCTCCCATGTGGATGCAGGGTCCCAGCGTTTTGGGTCATCCTCTATTGCTTTCCTAGGATATTTGCATGGAGCTGGATGATAAGCGGAACAGCTGAGACAGGAACCAGTACTTATATGGAATCTGAGCATATGCAAGGCGAGGATTTAGACACTGAGCCATTGCTTCAGACTTAAGAGCAACTTTCAGCCATGTATGTTAGACTATTTACCATCCTTGTTAAACGCAGTGACCAATAAACATAGTACTGGGACTGATTATATGTATGATTTGTGCAGCTAGTGTCAAACAGAATCCAGGAACTTTCTGTTAAAAAAAAAAAAGAATTTCAAAGTAGTGAGCCTGGTGTGATGATTCAATGACTAAATTCTCACCTTGCAAGGACTGGGACCCCATATGGGTATCAGCTCATGTCCTGGCTGCTCCACTTCCCATCCAGCTCCCTGCTTGTTGCATAGGAAAGTAGTGGAGAATGGCTCAAATGCTTGGGACTCTGTATCCGTGGTGGGAGACCCAGAGGAAGCTCCTGGCTTCAGCTGGGCTCAGTTATGGCTATTGAAGCCATTTGGGGAGTGAATCAGCAGATTGGAGATCGTTTTCTCTGTCTCTTTATAAATCTAAAATATAAATAAATAAAAAATCTTAAAAAAAAATTTCAAGGTGGCGACAGCAGAGCTAACTAAAGGGGAGGCCCTGCCTAGCAAGGTGGCACATCTGGATAATGCCCAAATCATGTGCCAATAAGACTAGTCCTGTCTGGCCCAGAGGAGACTTACAATAAATATTATACAACATTGTCTTTGTAATAAATTAATATTCCTAGATTGTCATTAAATATCAGAAAACTCTATTCAAGATGAAGTTATATTACTATATTCAAGGGACAATATATACATATACAATATATATTATGTGTACACATTAAATACATATAATCTTTTAAAAATTCTAAATATTATCTAATGATCTTTAACTTCAATATACATCCTCTATTTGGACAGCATACTAAGGTCCACATAAGGACTGACTTGAGGAAAATGGAATAAGAACACAAAACAAAACAAAATAAAAAACCAAACTACATGTATCCCAATTTAGACAGGTGGGAGATTGAAAGACTTGGTGAAAAAGTAGAAGTGTTAGCCTTAACACTTATCTAGTTTTACCTGAAAATCTTGCATACCTTGATTTTTTTTTTAAAGATTTATTTTTATTATTTTTTTTATTGGAAAGGCGGATATACAGAGAGGAGAGACAGAGAGGAAGATCTTCCATCCGATGATTCACTCCCCAAGTGAGCGCAATGGCCGATGCTATGCCGATCCGAAGCCAGGAGCCTCTTCCGGGTCTCCCACGCGGGTACAGGGTCCCAAAGCTTTGGGCCATCCTCGACTGCTTTCCCAGGCCACAGGCAGGGAGCTGGAAGGGAAGTGGGGCTGCCGGGATTAGAACTGGCGCCCATATGGGATCCTGGGCGTGCAAGGTGAAGACCTTAACCACTTGTGCCA